TGGTTTTTAAAAACTGCCCAAGATGGGTCGAAATGTTAAACAAGATAAAAGAATATTGAAAAAAAATATTAATGTGTCTTCTTTGAAAAAACATCAGAATACTTTTAAGTTTGTCTAATATAATAATTATATTTTCAAGTTATAATCGCTCCAAATAACTACAAATTAGTAGGCCAAGAATATTTTTTATGGATTTTTATATTTTTAAAAAAAATTGTAGTGCCAGCTAAAACGTATTGAGTACTAGCAGTGAAAATATTTCAAGGCTTGATTTTTTTTATCTTGTGTGTCTACGAGATTTCCACATTTATTTAATCATGTACTCATTTATATACCTTCCAAAATATATTCCAACTTTCTTATGGGTATTTTATATTGTTCCTAAATTAACTATAGTACTCCAACGTTTTGCCAGAATTGCAACGTTTTTAACTGAATTAACTTTCATGACCGATTTTAAAGGAACGTCGACAAATCTCTCCGGAAATACAAATGTGTAATTAAATGAAGAAGAAGAAGAAGAAGAAGAAGAAGAAGAGAAGGAGGAAGAAGAAGAGGAGGAGGAAGACGAAGAGGAGAAGGAGGAGGAGGAAGACGAAGAGGAGGAGGAGGAGGAGGAAGAAGAAATATTCACGTTCATATCAACTACCCTCTCTCTTTCCTTTAAATATGGCGACCGATGATACTTTGGGAGCAAAACTGCAACATTTTCATAGATATGAGACATTATCGTAAATAAGTACTCAAATAACAAATCATCATTAGAATTCAAAACATACAACAAACTACACGTATTGAAGTAAATCCTTAGAAAGAGACGTTTTATTGAACTCGTTTGACGCGGGCGAAGTTCGCTGAGAGCACTGTGCGGTCGCCGGGCGCTGCCTCGCGATCTGTGTGCTGAGGCAATCCGACGCACCTGCTCCCGCGTGTGGGGAAAATGCACGCCAATCAACGTTCTGCTGCAGTTGCCGCGTCTCACTTCGGCCAAATGATTCACTCGATTATTGATTTGACCTGTTCATGCTCGCTTCACAATCAACTGAGAAATGTAATCGGCGTTTTCAATTCTTGGAGAAAGCGGTACCTTGAATAAACATCGATTCAATAAACTTTAATCAAATGATCACTTAAAAATAAGGTGTTAAAGAAGTGAATGGGACAAATCATTTTTGCAAAAATTAATTTAGTTGTTCTCATCCCTAGGTAAAACAGAATCTTGGATATATAGCCCAACAAGAAACCAAATATAGTCAGCATTAGGACGTAAATGAAATACTTCACTAGTTAACAGTAAAACATAATTGTTAATGCAAGACCAACTATACAAGCAAATTATTTGCAAGTTCTTTCATAATAATGCGATCTGTTGGGGCGTTATATCTACAAAACAAATGTCTGTGTATTAAATCTGGATACGGAATTGTTCTACTAATTCACAGTCAGTTATCATGCGAATATAAACAAGAACAGCAGTCTTTTTTATTTCATCCGTGCAGTTTGGTAACGTCCAAGTAATGTATATCATATACAGACTTCCCGAACGTAATGTAAACGGAACCGTTTTTCAGTGTACTCTTCGTTATTTTTGCCGCTCATCCATACTCTTCTCGTAGCGTTTGCCGGAGGACGTGGCAATGTTTTCCTATCTGCTACCTACACCGGCGCAACTCGGCCCATTGCCGCTATTGAGCTGTCGGAGTCGGCGTACACGGTGCCCTACATCCGCGCTATCCCTCACAACGCTGTTTATCTGCCCCGCCCACCCACGCAGCCGCTGTGATCCTGCCGCCCCGCCCCGCGGCCGCAACTCCCCATCCCGCATCAACGCCTCTGCCACTAGCGCCCGCGCTCGCCGTCCCACACACTTCCCCCATCTCTTGCCTTGCGTTCCGAGCTCTCTAGTAGCGACCCACTCTCGCCGCTTCGCGACCCGCTCTCTGTCCAACCCCCGCGACCGCTCTTCTCTCCAACCCCGCGACCCGCTCTCTCTCCACCCCGCGACCCGCTCTACTCCACCCCGCGACCCGCTGTCTCTCTCTTCTACCCCTGTTAACCCAACGCCCTGTACTCCGCCCCCTCGCGTTCCCAGTCTCTGTGCCGACGTTCTCGCTTCTTTCCGTCCCCCGCCCTGATCTCACCGTCCCCCGCCCCGCCCTCTCTGTCCAGCGCTCCCCTCCATACTCTCTTTGCCCAGCAACCCACTCTCCCTTCTGTCCTCTTTTCTTCCTTTCCGACCGACCAGGCCATCTCGCCGCTCCACGCGTCAGTTACTGTCTCCGTCGGCGCGTCCGGCGAGGACTGGGGGCGGCGCCCCCGGCAGGAGGCCCTGGGCTCAGCCCTGGCAACTGCATTTGCAAAAAATAAAGCCATGATTAATCCCGAAATTCAGGGGGTGTATAACGTCAGTCCAATTGGTCCAAACTGGCAGAGAAGAAGCACCGCAGTGAGGAGAGTGGCGCGCTAAAGTTTCTCTGAGTAGTCGAATTTCCTGCGGTGAGCAAAGTGGCTTCGCAGGTTTTATAGTTATTTTCGGTTTTTCGTGCGTTCTATTTAGCCATCATTTAAATAATGTGTCCTTTATTACACTTCCGTCTAAACTAACATTTGCATTTTATTATCAAAGAAATTATTAAACCTAAGTGAATTTTTAAGAATAATTTATTTGCGATATTTTATTATTTCAATTTTAATTTATCCGAACTGTGCAAAGATCCCCTAGGTCACCGGGCATTACGTAACTACGCAAGATACTTTTGTGCAAGATTTCTTATTGATTTGTTTGTTTTTTTTAACTGATGAAACAACCATAAACTGAACCACAACACGGTAAAGAAATTACACCCAACGTAAAAATCCAAAAGTAATATTTTCCATGTGATTAATATTTCAAATAATAAGGTACAAGAGGAGTCTTTATTGTCAAAAAATCTCTATAAACCAACAATGAAATGTATTAAATTCATTAAAATTTTTAACATTTTAGTTTTTTGAATTGAAATTATCTAATGATGTATGTTTATTTCCTAGAAGAATTCCACATTCCTTATAAATTATTTTACGGATTGAAGGTTAGCTATTTCACATTGTATTCCATGACGTTAAAGTGTATGAAAAATCTGGAAACATATTATAGTGGAATTTTGTGCCACTTATTTTATTAATAAAACGCATTCTGTTCTTTGTTTTTTTTATAAACTTTCATTGAAGAACTTGCTTCAAATTAGTGAAAAATTACTCATGAAGGAAATGTAAGATGAAAGTTTAATAACATTTCGTAATATAGGATACAGCGCAAGATACAAACTTCAGAATCCCTGTAAACCGGAAACCATCTTTTAGTGATTTATCACGCATTGTTTCGAAGTTATAACCTAAATCAAATTATGTAGTTTATTTATTACGGGGGAAGTAAAATGATAAATCAATAAATTTGTCGCAAATTGTCTTTTCGCTTCCAGCAAATTCTCCTTCATATCGTTCAATTACATACTTCTCTTAAGGTGTATAGGACAAATACGCAACCCTGAACAAAGTAAGAGTGTTCGGCCAACATGTATTGTAGGAAAAATTGAATAAAGGACACACGGTAACTAGAATGGCATCCGCACGAGTCGATCTCTCGTGTGAGTTCAAAGCTTCGCGTCTTCCCCTCGCCAATTTGGAACCCCCCGCTGCACAGTGGGATCACCCGCCGCCACAGCCGGGATCATGTGCGCGGCAGCACACGCAACTAGGTCAGGCGTGCGGTTACAGCAAGGACCGCGGTGCTGGCACAGCGCAGGGTTCGAATCCTCCACGACGTCGGACCGGATGAGGACCTCGACCCAGCAAGTGGCCTCCGCCCGCGTCGCGGGGTTTACGTGATTAAACCGTATTTGCGTGTGTTTAAGTCAACTCGCCCTTCATCTGGTCTCGACAAGGCTGCGGAGACCACGTACAGCAGTCGAGGGCTCAGAATCAGGAGCAAGTTTCGAAGCAGAACAGTTAAACTTGTGTATCTTAATCTCGATGATCGGGCAAATTAGATACTCAATTAACGCCTACTGAAACGCCTTTTTTTGACGGAAGTAAAGAAATACAGGTGGTAACTAGGCGAGCGCGTTGCCACTTTTCCAGCACTCGTCTAAAAGATTTACAGCAACTAATCAACCTCGCACTTCCCTGGCGTAATTCTCTTTCCATTACCCTTCTCGTAAACGCATTCAGTTTGCTGAGAGCCGTGAATGCGTGTGTGCAATACGTGTATGTGTTTGTGCATTTGTGAGTTTGTGTATCGGTCGCTAAATCTCGCGCACGAGCACCGTACTATAAATAAGGTTGATAAGCATAAAGCACGGGAATTACCTCCGCGGAGAAATGTATGAACAAAAGGTCATCAGATGCGCGCGCTCGCCGTTTTCGCACCGCCAAGCACCTGCAATTGTAGCGGGTTGCTCGCTGTGGTCGAACAATGCTCGCTTCCCACCGAGTTGCAAACTCCGAGTTGTACTTGCTTGCTATCCATTTCAACGATTTCAGTTTTGCTACTATCATGATTTGCATTTACACCTACATCACGTATCATATTCTCGCCCTTTGGGGTTTACTTTCTCTACGAAGTGTTTTGGCTATCTGGTTGGGGAACACTCCGCAAGCCGAAGTCAAGGTCGGCGCCGGACCTCGCCATCCAGTGAGGAAATATTACTACCTCCTCCCAGATAAAAACTACACTTACGGGACTCATGAAGTTAGCAGTTGACACGCTCGGAATGAGCAAACAATTTGTCTTTTACGCGAATTTTTATGTTCGTGAAGCTTATTGGAATGTGAAATTTGTAATTGCAGTATAAATATGAAAATGCAATAAAATAAATATAATAAAATTGTTTCTCCCAAACAAGTAAAAAGTATTAGTTGAACATCCTAGAATTTACGAATACATTTATGAAATTCTGTATCTGTGAAGAATACATTGAAACTAGGAATTTCAACACACGGAATTTCCACAAATGGAACAGTCAGTTAAACATCTCGATCCTCAAACTACTTATTATTAAAGGAAAACACAGACTATTGATGAAATCAATACAAAATATCAACTTCGATGCAAGTATTTTGGAGAAATTATCTGAAAGTTGTAATATCACACTTGGTCGTTGTTTAAGTTATAAATCTCACTTTTTCAATCATCTTCTATCCCACATCTTTCCCATTCAATTATTTTATCATCCATTCACATTATTCAAATTCAGACCTAAACTACCTCTGTCAATATTCATTGCTCCATCACAATGAAAGTATTGACCAAGTTTCATGAATATGATTGATGGGATTGGGTGACATATTTACGAGTATTTCTGACTAAAGCTCTCTATTGATTCTACTTCCATATGCGAAAGTGACAATTTAAAATTTAGTGAAACGCACATGCTAGAGTAAGATACTATCAGAAGTTATTATATATTTCTTTCGCCAATGCTTAAATAATTGGCACAACTTGTGTCAAAGAAAGAGATGGTTTCAAAGGAACACAATAACGCGTGCTCATCCTCGGCAATTAATATACAGTTGTAAGAACATTGCAGAATGCCCATTATTTATTCGATTAAAAATCATGTAGTCTATTATCGTTATGTGAGAACATTTGTTACTCCGGTCTCCCATTCAAATGTTTCGTTTTCGCAACTCAAATACACTGCGTAGCACGGAATCACGTCACACACGTACAAGTAAAGAATCGCAGTGCCCACGTTGCAGCTTGGCCAGCGTTGAGCTGTTAAGGAGGGTTGGGCGCGGCAGCGATAAACCTGGCGCGGCAGCACCATTTGCCTGCGTCGAGTCTCGCGCGTGAATTGCGAACGCCAGAGGAACTCTGATCGTGCGTGGGCGTACGTGTTTTCTCCTGATTAAAATGAGAGAGAGAGAGAGAAAATTCGACGAACTTTTATGAGTTATTTATGACACGAGCGGTAAAAGAGATATTTTATACTGCGAATAGGAATGGTTGCGTCAGATGGCCTAGCCTCCTGCACTAGAACAGTAACTAAAAATGTGACTCTGAAAAAATCTATTTTGCTATTGGCTTTCTGAAAAGTAATTAAATAAGGTACAATCAGTAACATTTAAAATCAACCTCGTGAATTTGTGGTCGTATGTACAGTAGAGCTCAGCCAATCCAAACTCCGCAAATCCGAAATTTCGGATAATCCGAAAAATGTTCGGGAGGAAAAATAAACAAAAGAAATAAAATTCTTATTCGAACTTTACAGAGCGGATTTTATAATTACAGTAGAACTGAACAACTAATTATTGACACAGATTGTCGTAATGAAACGTTTATTACACTGGTAACTACGGTATATATCACTTGTGTATGTAGCAGTAATTTTCACTCAGCAAAATCAGAAATATTTTGCCGCAAGGAACTGAATATGCTTGATAATGCGATAGATATGCTACGTTGCCATTTTTCTCATAGCGCACGCTATGTTGCATTATCTGGTAATCCTATAGATGTATTTGTATATGTATGGCACATCTTTTTCGGATATTCCGAACACTTCCCGATCCGAACAGACCACACCCTACTTAGTTCGAATTATCGGGGTTCTACTGTATTTGCATTGTTACAGTTATTCCGTAATGTTATTGTTGGAGTCATTTGTAATCTTTCCGAAAATAAGTGCCACATTTTGCCCCGTAAATGAATATCTGGCAAGAACAATTGAAACGAAAATGCGAACTCATGAATGAAATATTTTGTTTAATACTTTTAGGACACAGTTTTCGCTGCTATACGTGTTGACGGCGAGACTTAGATTACACGATTAATACAAAATAACCTTGAAACTACACAACGCATATTTTCGTGTATTTTATAACAAAAAATGCTTATAATAAATCTCACAATTTTTTGAAAGGAAGACTGATATCGTTCCGTATCAGTTTACGCTTAACTAAGGCGCCCTAAGGGCCACTCTTAGAGCGACATCCAGGCAGTTCATTTCTTTTCATAAGGTGGAGTTTAATTTTAAATTTTACCTGGGGTACAAATGGGTCAAGTATAAAGACAGAACATTTACCAGAACACGTGTAAGAAAACGCATATTGAATGCTCAAGTCTCTAGTTCAATAGACATCTCTCAAGACCACAAGGCTAAATGCTCTCGAATTGCCTTAGGTATTCACAACATAAAGAAAACAGTGCTGCATATCTATTATTATTTTACTGTCCACATACTACGAGTTTGTGAGTGTATACTGTATATATTATGTACGTTTATGTTAATGCATGTAGTATTGTGTGTAGTCTATTCCTGTATTAGGGTAGATCATATGGCAAAGTTTCAATTTCTTGTCTTTATCGTCTTGTCATACTCTTACACAACTTACAAATGTAATACAAATATTGAACACAAAGTTTGAAAGCAATGGAACATGTTAACGCGTGTTATTGAACACTTAAAGAAATTACACATTCCCTCTTCAATTGTTTTCGGACGAGAAATTACATTTTATTATATGTAAATGTATATTATTGTATGTTTTTACATACGTAAACAAAGTAGATCCACCATTTGTAGCCTAAAGAAATCAATGTATTTTTCTTACACTTTTATTCCGTTACGATCACAAGTATTTAGGGGCTGGTAAAACCCCGAGTCCCGAAATGAGTGAGCGAAAGGTAACATGGGCTAGAGTAATGGAAAGATACCTCCCAGATGACCTTGAGCCGCCCCTGTTTGCTCCACCACAAATAAGACCGCAACGAACGAAATGTATTAGTCAGTATTAAAATTACCTCCATTCAAAACTGTATACACACCATATCGCACTTCTTTGTTAACATGCAAAAGCTTCCCGGTTTCTTACATTTTCTATGAAGTCCACAGATCCCCAACGCCGAGGCTACGCAAACGGAACCCTCTCTAATCCTTTCTCATACATCACGTTGAAGTATCATAATTCACTAAATCTTTCGGATATGCTCGATTGAGTTTTCCCCATCGATATTAAACTGGGATATTAGTCTTGTCTGCCAGGCACAGTTGTGTTATGTAGTTTGTGTTCAACTAGCATCTAAAAGAACCGAATGGCTGAACTATGAAAAATCTATCTCTCAACAAAGTTGTTTGTACTATAAGAAAATGTTAACACGAAAGTTAAACTTGTGTACTGTGAATCAATTAGAGTACTTGATTTCTTTTAATGCCTTCAGCTGAAGTGCTATTACAGATTTCTTGCCATCGAGAAACAAACCATTCCACAATTAAGCGAAATGTAATGTGTTTATGCATGTACGTGTAATGAGTGAGCGAATGACTGTGCAGTGTGTGAGCGAATGTTTGTGTAGTGTGTACACATATGTGCAGAATGTGTACATATGTGTGTAGAGTGTATATATGTGAGTAGTGTGTGAACAAGTTGCCCACCAACTATGGGCCACCGCCATAACTTCTAAACGGTTCACGATATCTAAGTGCAATTTTCGCTCAATAATGCGCAATTGTGGGACAAGTAATATGATGTAGATGTATTGTGCGTAATATTCTTCCGTTTTCGAGAAATTTAATCATCTTTGGTTTATTAAATGGAACTCTATTTTCTTTTCAGCAAAGGGTAGATAATAAAATGAGGAATACAATGATGTATGATGTGTTAATTTTTAATAGTAATTTAAGAATAAAATTATACTTCCTGACATGATATTTTAAATTAAACCGGCAATATATCCTGCAGCAACTTTTGAACTGCCGCTTTTGAAGAAGGTGGCCTTGGCGGCCTCTCCCCTCTTCCCGGATAAGTGTCGGCGCTGTTAAGACCACCTCTCCCAAAGACGACAGTTGCAAGAGGAGCTACATGCAATATTGTCCGTTTAATTTAAAATCACGCGACAGAAAATAATTTTTATTCTCAAATTAGTATGAAAATACTAAAATACAATACATCATGGCATTCCTCTTTTTACGACCTATCCATTGCTAGTGAGAAAAATAGTACTTCCAATTAAAAAAGTCCAAGATTACTAAATTTCTCGAAAACGAAAAATATAATGAACCATATCTCTACAACATATTACTTGCCTCTTGATTCTGCATTGTTACCGAAAACCGTTTAGAAGTTATGGGGTGGCCCGTAATTGCTGTGACATGCTGTATAATGGGCGTGTAGAGTGTATGTGTATGTGTAGAGTGTATGTGTTATGTGTAGAGTGTATTGTGTAGAGTGTATGCGTTTAGGCTAGTAGTGTATGTGATAAGTATAGGTTCTGTGTACTGTGATATGTGTATGTGGTATTGTATATGTGGTATAGTGTATAGTGATGTGTATGTGTATAGTTGTATGTGTATGGTATGTGTAGTAGTGATGTTATGTGTAGATGTATGCTGTATGTGTAGTTGTATGTTATGTGTAGTGTGTAAATGTAGTTGTAGTGTTTGTAACATGTATTTGTGTAGAGTGATATTAATTATGCTGTAAGAGTTTATACTGTATGCTAGAGTGTATATGTATGTGTAAGTTAATATGTATTGTGTAAGTGTATATTGATATGTGTTAGAGTTGTATATGTATGTGTAGCAGTGTATATGTATGTGTGTAGAGTGGTATATGTATGTATACTGTGTAATGTATTATACGTGGTATAGTGTATGTATAGGCTGCATATGTAGTATAGCGTGCATATGTTATGTATAGTGTGCATATGTGAGTACAGTGTGCAATAGTGTATAGTGTCATATGCATATGTTATGTCATAGGTGGTATGATATAGTGTGCATATGTATGTATAGTTGCATATCTATGTATAGTGTGCATATCTATGCTATAGTGTGCATATCTATGTAATAGTGTGCATATCTATGTATACAGTGTGCATAATCTATGTATTAGTTGTGATGATCTATGTATAGTGTGCATATCTATGTTATAGTGTGTATATGTATTATATAGTGCATATGATGTGTAGTGTTAGATGGTGAGGATATGCGCACGCGCATTGTGCTTATGTACATGCATATGTGCGTGCATATTTACATCGTGTTTGTACCAGACAGTGTACGTAGAAACTGAACATTCTCGATTGCGTGAGCATCGTCCGCCCCAAGCGGCCAGAATACCGTTGCGTGCAACTCACCCCATTGCTTTTCCTCCCCAGGAGCACCCGACTTACCAACCGCGGGGTGCAAGCGACTGCTGGAACGGACGCGGCCTGGCCGGGCTGCTGCGTGGAGCCGCCGAGCGCAGGCGGCGGGCGCCGGGCGGCGCGGCAACGCGTCGCTCGGCGCGGGGCCTGCGCGGGCGGCGGCGTGCCTGTGGCCGCGGCGCGAGCGCTGCGCGCGCTCGGGCCGCGCCTCGAGCTGGAGCTGGCGGTGGACGGCGCGCACGCCGCCGCCTCCTACTTCAAGCACGCGGCGCCGCTCTTCGCGGCGCGCTACGAGTTCGCGCACGGCCCGCTGTGCGGCCCGGCGCTGCTGCCGGCCGCCGCCGACGGCGAGCTGGCCTTCCCGCACCTGGAGGCCCTCGGCCTGGTCGAGGCGCCGCGCGCGCTGCGCTGCCTCTGGGAGGTGAGCCTGGCCGGCGACGGCGACAGCGCCGCCCTGCGGTCACCGGGCGCGACATGGCGCGCCAACCACAGGCCCCTTTAAACGCCCTTTCGTCTTCTTTTTTCTTTCTTCTTATTGTTATTATTATTTTATAACATATTTTTCATGATCTTTTCTTCGTCTTTTATTCTTTATTCTTCTCTATGTTGAATATTGTCAGTGGTATAACATGCATATTGTCCAAATTTCAGGACCACTTCTCTAAATTAAATTGCGGCGTCCCTGCAGTCGACAAGTAACAACAATAAAACGTTTACGCAGGTCCTTTGAAACAGTTAAATATTTTAATCTTCTTCCAGTTCCGAATCACAACCAGAATATTGGATTCAGAAATAGAGAAATACTCATATTTCCTTACCTGGGTAATTCAAATATTGATAATTGGAACAATACGCCGGAATTCGAGTTAATTATTGTACAAGACACGTGTTGTTCTGCCTTTGGCTAACATTTGACAACCACTTACGAAAATAACCGCCTCAAAATTCCCTCCAAGGAATGTTTGAGAACAAGATTGTCCCGCATAATAAAATGCTTAATCTCCGACCGAAAATATTTTATAACAGACCTAGTTTTCATAAGACAAAATAGTCTATTGGCTTGGTACAGTCATTTTTATTACAAGTCACTACGTGAAATGTTATTAATACAATTATTGCTTCAGAATTATTAAGTTGTGGAATATACTAATGGAAGTAAAGTCAACATATTCTTCATACAATATACAAATTAGTTATTTCTCGTCAAATCGACTTCCAATATCATTTATGTTTAAAACGTTTAATTTTTAAATGTGGAACTCTGAATCTGAAAATCTATGTCTTTTAAAAAACGATTAATTTCTTCATTCACAAAATATTAAAAACGTCCAAAGTTTCAAATTTGTGTTGAGCTTTGCTTGATACACGATAATCGCATACGGTGTTTTTCATGATAGACTATCAAAATATATTTCGTACGTCACATATCAATAATCTGAATATTATCTTACTATCAAAAGATCAATAATAATTAATGGAGTGGGTTTTTGTAGCTGATATATTGTTCGTCCGCAGCAATAGTGGGACAGCTCAAAAATCAGGTGCTGAGATAAATGAGTTTAATGTTTCACCTTGTATAGTAATTCATCATTCTTGCTTTCATATTTCTGCATTTGTAATATACTGTAAGACATGCTGCTGTCGCTGCTGAATGATAGACCAGTTCTAGATAGTGCATTAACTAAAAAATCGTATTCTTTGAATTGTGACACTACTACAGCCCACGAGCGATATATTGTCCTGGTTCTGGTTCACATCATGTATTTTTTCTGTGTAGCCCATTCAGAACACAGTCAATATTCTCGGATTCCCTTCGAAATTTTTTTCATTACAGAACAATTTCACCAAATTACATCTCATCTCCGTCAAAAAAGTGTATTTTCCCAAACATGAGACACACAAACACCACGGTGTACGCGATAAAAAATCGATTAAACTCATTTTCTTTCTGGTGACTATCGTTCCGTAATGACTGTGACGCAAAATCACCAGCCGATATTAAGGCACTCCTGTCATTTTGAATGACCAAACGTAATTGCTTCAGCGTTGCCTGATGCGTTCGCCTGTAAAGAGAGCGAATGCTTTCGAATCCAAAATGGCAATGGCCGTGAAATTAGACATCCCTCCTCGTTTTGGGCTCTGAATTTCCTTTTACAAATGCGTTCAGACGCAAAGGGAATATATATCTCTTGTATGCATGGATACTTTCTATTAGACATTTATTTGGGGTAATTTGTTACTGTACGAGTACTTTTAATGTAAGTGCGCGCTAAATATTATTTTCTGATGATTTATTTTAGGTCTTACTTTTGCAAACTACTAACAGCATCTGCAGTTACAAAATAGCATATGTAGGAATTATATTTCCTCAATTATTTGAAGATATATACTGTCAGTTAAATAACTTATCTGTCTAGCTATATTGTGTCAATACTATGCCCTTATCTGGACTGGCTTTTATTTCAAGTTAATGAACGACAGTAATTAAATATGAGATGAAAATATGAATGAGAATATGAATGATGAATATGAATAAATGAAAATTTTTAACTAAGTAATTTTTCTTATATCTGAAAATTTGAAAGCGAATATTTTACCTCTATTACACAGTGAGTCATACCTACAACAATAAAACTGTCGTGATAATAAAACGTCTTATGTGTCCATGTCTTTTTTCTTGGTAGTGTAATTGAACTTCAGACAGAAAAATTAGAATGAAAATGTTCAAGTTTAGTGTTAAGGAAAGGAGATTACCACTCCCTCCTGTAATTTCATAGTAGGCAGCAGTGAAACAAAAATCGTTTGCAAGCTCAGGTAATCGGAGGAGCCAAGAACAAAATAATTCGAAGAAAATTATGAGAAAAACGAAATATATTTTCAAACGCCCCATATTTTCAAGCATACAAAGGGAAACATTTTTTATTTGTTTTATAATCGGTTTTTGTGAAAAACTCCGATACATAGACATAAAGAACGAACATAATTTGTAATATTATTGTGTTTCTAATGTTCTACAATCAAAAAAAAATCGCTGTCTGCTTATCACATCACAATGCAATTCGAGGTCCGACCACACGTCCCTGTTTCACTACTGCCAGGGGCTTTCTGGTTTAAGGGGGATGGGCTAAATAGGTAAGTGATCAGGCTTCATCAATATATTACATATTTGACCACCCACTTTTTTATAACCTACAAGTCCCAGCTCCATCACATTTCAATGTTGCCAAAAACCCCACTTGACAAACAACAATTTAAAAAATCCATACCCGATATTTCTGAAACACTTGGTTGATGTAGATCCAGTCTAGTGACTCACAATGAGATTTCCTCCCCACTTTTAATAGCATTTAGTGTTATTTTTTAGAATTAGTAAGTAAACACATAAATACGTATGAACAGTAACATTACTCTGGAATTGGTCGGAGACAATACATCTCTCTCATAACGCGCTACAGTCCAGCTCTAGCTTATCACTCGTGTACTCGATGTATTTATATCTGGATTCGAGGAGTGGAAGTGCCCTTAATACCAGTCCATCACCCGGCTCAAAGTCTAGGAGTGAGGGCCGTGGCTCATTATATTGGCCAAGAGTTAAAATCTTTCCGGCGTGAAAAAAAACATTTCTGATTCATTTGATGATAGGAAAAAACGAAAATGGCATTTAAAACTTGCCGTGAGCTCTTGGTTCTTAGATGTAGCACATATAAGTTGTGAAGAATTTTTACGAAATTTAACGTCAGGAAATTGTGTAGGCACAACGTAGCACAGCACTGATAGGTTATGAGGAATTTTTGTACTGTGTATAGCGTCATGAGTGCATGACATGTCCAGAAAAAAGAGACGGATTGAAGAACACCACAACATCCCATCAGCCATTCGACAGCACAGACGGTCTGCCTGTCCCACTCCCTCCGGAAAAGTACACTCAACAGTCAGATGTAGGCGAAGACTGCGGAAGAAAGAAATCGCCTCGCCCTTCATTTTCAGAGCATAAACATCATTTCCTACATTCTCTCACCGGAACTCCTACCCCGACCACTGCGGTGCTGTACGTGACGAACAAGGAGGGCGATTCCATCAGAACATTTCGCAAATGGAATGAAGATATAAGGGGAAATGAATCACTGCGATGCTGGACAGTTGGATGTTGGACAGTTGCAAGAGAAGACGTAGAAGAAGAGCACAAGCGACGAGCAAAGAGAAGACGTTCACGAGAGGAAGGTATTCTATTTGAGGACAGTGAATCTACAATACCAAAGTTCAATTTACTAAACGATATCTAATGTCACATCCATTATTCTAAGCCCAATATTAGAGCACTTTGGCTATTTTCAGAAAATAAATAATTCGGAAATATATTTTTAGTATACGGACTGAGGACGGAACAGGCCTAATTCTTGAAGGTAGAAGAAGAAGAAGAAGAAGAAGAAGAAGAAGAAGAAGAAGAAGAAGAAGAAGAAGATTTTCTCTTGAAAGTAGTATATCTTCAAAACTAGAGCTAACGAAAAATATTGTCGTATTAGTTTCTTTCGACCATAAATTGCGGTAGTTTTGCTGTTTTGAGAAAGGACAGAATTCCCATGTGCATTTTTGTTGAACAGTGTTATTTTATCAGACGTCCGCTTGGAATGGGCAGAAAATAACGAATAATCGTAGCACTCATCTTTCAATTCACCATTCAGGTAGTGGAATCGTCAGATCCAGCTATTTAGGTGGTGTCGAAAATAGGCCACCGTCGAGACCCGAACTTCAGACCTTCAGACATGCCCACCTACACAGCTTCACTCGTGAACTCGCGACTCTATACTCAACCGCGCTCCGTCTAAGAACCGGCTTCAGTTCCACATTTCGCGAATGGAGAGGCAGTCGTGTCGCTCTCTGTCCTTGGATGGAAATCGCTCTCGTACAGCACGTGCCAACCTCGGCGCGTGCGCCACAGAATGGCCTTTGTGAGATGCGCCACTTCCACGAAAGGTGCGTTGACTCGCTTGCGCAGCTTCACCCCGTTCCAGGAAGAGGTCCAATTACATTCAAAGATCTTTCAATTCAAATACCTTCGTGTGGCGACAACCAGGATGCCAGAAGAAGTATCATAAAGATATTCAACAATAACTCTGTTTCCAAAGAACAAATTTCAAGCTATCAAATCCGAAGAGTTACATAGTTTGCTTATTGCAAAATTTGTATTAATAAATTTGAACATAGAAAAAACTTATAAATGCAAAGAAAGTTTCACTTCGGAGTATTCTATAAATTCTAACAAAAGTTAAACAAACAATACGCTGTAAAGCAGACACGGCAGTTACAAAATTTCAAACAATAAAAAACTGATTATGAATTCTTCGTACATTTTGAAATAGAAACGTACATAATTTTCATTGCCCTCTAACCTTGTAACCTTCATAGTAAAAATGTATAGTTTATTAGAAAAAAAATTATTTATTTTCAATCATATTATTTTTTAAAGCATTAGTTTAACTTACTGTGTGTATATTAAATCATGTAATATAAACATTTTATTTTTCTAAGTTACATTTACGAAACTGGAAACGTAAACACTCGCAGATTTGATGACAATACATCACAGTGTGATTTTGGAACCCATCGCCCATGCATCTTCACACAAATGTTGCACTATTTATGTAAAAATTTCACAAATAATGACATTTCTAGCTCTCTTGGAATTCTGAAACATTCAAACCACACATTGTAATTTCGAAACCCGATATATTGATTTTGAGGATGCCCCCTTTGTACCTACCTCGGAAATGAGATAAAACAGAATATCATTTTTTTATTCAACGTAGCTTTCCGATGACAAAAATTCCACATGAATCTGAGGATTTCACTCTCTCCTCAGACGCAAAGGATAAAATTAATTTGTTATCAGTAATTATTGAACTATGTTTCATTATTTCCAAAACTCCATGTACAACATTTTACATATGATGAAATTGATCAACAATAAATAAATTGATCCTGAGTATCAAATATTTGTGTTTATTAACGGTATTACGAAATCTAAATGTGAAAATCACTATTGTTTTAATCTCCAAATGAAGTCCTCAAGAGTACTTTAACATTACGTAGCACGAAGTAATAGTATTCAGAGAATAAATTGAAGTACTGATTTATTCTGTTTTCTCCTGATTCGTAATACAGATAGCACATATTTTCCATATTTTCAAATTCTGTATTCCTGTTTGTGATATTTGTCGACGATCGAGCGAAAAATGTCATTCCGTTTGGTATTCTCTGCTGCTTCCTCGGAGAAACACTCCCTCGTCAGTTCCGTATAATTTCGCCATTTGGTCCACATTTTGTAGCTTCCAACTGCCCACTTCCGCGAAAGAAGTCAAACTGCCGATAGCGTCTTCCAACGCCTCGGCGAGTGAGTCTGGATGCGAATTCTCAATCACAGTGGGTCATAAGTGATGAATGAGTTCATTTTTATTATTATTACTTTGTTTTTTGTTTGGCGAATCGGACATCACTTGATACGTGCCTCCCACCGGGGCTCAGACTTTATTACAGGGGTAGGTGCTCGTTACTTTTCTACAAGGGGGATCATCATTACAATGCTGATTCCATTTTTTACACCAGGGTTGTTAGGATAGGATGAAATGATGATGATGTCGAAATAAGCACTCACAAACATACAGACTCCCACACAACACAACGATGCCCGAGGCGGGACTCGAACCCGCGATTCTTAGGTCCGAGAATGCTATTGCACTACTATCTTAGTGATCTCGGTCATTGGGTTGGCATTTTATTTATTTATTATTATTATTGTTATTAGTATTATTGTTAACAATTATCGTATTTGTTAGGACATGATTTCTTTTCAATATAATTTACCAATTAGTGGTTTCGCAATTAATTAATTTTTTGATCATCTTTCGAAAGAACAGAACATGGCAAATCGGTACCTGAACGCTATGAAGTGATTTTCCTTTATACTTGACTTATAAATCGTACTTCAGTGAGTTGTCGATGTTTTTCCAAACTTCATGCAACGAAAACACTTTCTCTCCCCTTGTATTACGATTAGTTCTCGTCCTTTAGATTTGAAAGTACGCTCAAATTACCAGTATCTGGTTGGGTTATTGGTTTTGTACTAGTTCTAATACTCTTTAATTTCGTTGCTTCAGAGAAAGAAATCAAATTTCAAGAATAAGCCTCTCTTTGAATATTGATAATTTTGGAACTGCATATTGCCGCAACCATTAACATTGTTTGTCACCCTAAATTTAGTAGTTTCACAACGCATAAAAAGCGACTGTTCGATCCAAACTTATATTATGTTACCATTCTTGAAGATAAAACGATGACAACAAGGAAGTTTGCAGACAAACAATTGTGTCATGAACAAATTAAAAAGTCAGAAAAAGTAAACGCAAAAAATGTTGAGATGACAGAAAGCTATAAAACAATATTGCTCATTATCGAAGTACGATAAGAGCATTTTTGCCCCAACGACCTTGTTAATTTCATTCAACGTACACATTTTTTTAAATTTTACTTTTCTGAAAGCTTTGACAAAACTCATTTGTACATGATAATTTTATAAATCATTGGGCGAAAATCACTAATTGGCAATTAAATATATTTTCTACTTCATATAAATTGCCGTGAATGAGAATGCAGTGTATATTTTGCATCAAATGAAAACGGAGAACAGTAATAAATATGCATTCTTTTTTGCATTTTAATATCATTTTCACTTCAGAATACATTTAATCAATGTGCAACTGGTAATTAAAAATATGAGAATACACATCATCCAAGCATATAACGCATCATGAACACGACCTGCTAACGACCTTCATGCGTCTGCAAAAATTTCCGAACGCAATTCGTTATTCACAAACCACGTGGTAAATTTCTTAAGAAAAATTACCCTCAAAATATTGACAGACAAATGTATTTATTTCACTTCTCTGTATTTGTACATTGCATGTGAACAACTAAGTAAAATGCAATAAAAATGACAGGTAATTTAATCTCAGTAAACAAAATTATTTCAGATATGAGACGTAGTTTGTCTCATTATTCACCATTTTTGAACGTAAACCATTTTTCCATACTCTGGGCCATTTAATAATCTAGACAGGAGAACGTCGAGGCGAGATTTTAAACAGGATAATTAAGATCTACTTGACAATTGTATTGAGAGTTCGACAGGGCCTTAAGCGATAAGACCTTAATTACGATAAGATTATTATAAAATGTTATTGTTTAAAACGAATTTTTCTTGTTGTGCTGGTGTTGCAGTCTGTGAACGATATCAAAGGGTTCAAATTAAACTTCCTCTTCAAGTGCCGTTTTCTAAACGGAGTTTGGCGACAATGCAACAGAAATTGATATGAAAATGTCTAAGCGAATCCTTAACGACGACAGTTGCAGCAATTCCTGAATGGCAGCTAAGTAAGACTTGAGTTCGAGCGTTGCCAAGGTTCGCCAGGCGGCAGAACGAGTTGGGCGAACATTGCACCGCAACCTGAGTCGCACTTGCAACGACGCCTTGGTTACCAACTTAGAAGCCTCACTCACTTCAAAGCGCGTGTCTTGCGAAGCCCTAAGTCTCCCCAAAGCCTCGACCGTCCCGGAGCTCCAGTTGCCGCACAATACAGTAGCAGGGAGGCTTCGCCGGTGTGGTGGCAAGCAGGCGCTATGACTCAGTCAGGAATACTGAAAGGCCTCAAGATTCTAAAAAAATAACAAGCAAATAGCAATAAAAACTGGAAGTTCATCCATCTAGTTAGATTTATTTTTCGATAGAAATTATAAAACAATATTTTAATAAAGTGATTTCTTCAACATGGAAGAATTATAGGGTTGAAATGTAATTTAAGAAAATGTTTCCAAACGACTTACATAGTAGTAATAATATTAAGAATGAGACATTTAAATGTAAAAAATATTATTAGACTTCCAAGAGTAATTTTATTGATACTAAAACATAGCTCAGAGTTCCTTATAGTGGCTGTAACAGTTACATAAAATTATTACAATTATATTGAATCCTGTACGAGGTCTAGAACAAATTCTTGCAAAACACTCTTCATCGTTAATACATAGTACGCAATGTTCGCGTTCTAAGGCGCCCTTCATAAGGAAAGTTGATTTTCCTTTTAAAAATCAAGCATATTAATTTATTGTTGGCGTTTGGAATTTTAACATTCCTTGAAGCTGGCACGTACAGTGCAGTTGGTAACCGCTCTATCCTTGGATAAAATGTGAGCATGAATCTTATGGATGTTCCCTTGTGACCTTGATGTGATAGGAAGAGACAAGCCACCACGATTTCGGTATTATTTCTTAAATCATGATTTATTATTTCATCACTACCCGGGAAAGTCGAATATCAATTATCATACTTCAAATAATCAGTTCACCGACATTTTCATATCAATTGCGTTGTCACCAAACTCCGTTTAGAAAACGGCACTTGATGAAGAAGTTTAATTTGAACACTTTGATATCGTTCACAGACAGCAACACCAGCACAACAAGAAAAAATCAAGTTTTGAACAATAACATTTTATAATAATAGTTGGGTCTTATCCCTTATCGTAATGAGTCGACTCCGAAATCGAGAGATCGCTGAGTGAAAGGGAAGAACGAATGGTGGGATCGAGGTCATTCTGTTTTTGTAATTATCAGAATGACACGTTTTTTAATTAAACAAGTATTTGGGCATAAAATGCGTTGCGAATTTTGCGTTTACCGGCAAATTTGTCTCAAGGCATCAAATGGTGTCACTGCAGTGCCTCGAACCGGGAGGTCCTAAGGTTCAAGTTCTGGCGGTTACAGAATTTTCGCCACTAGCTACCATAGCTATGTCGAATTCAGATGATATCTGGAGGAGAATTCTAAAGGGCGGCTTCTATTATCGGAAGTTTTCCGTGGTTTCTCCGATCAATACCAGGTGAATGATAGAGCAATACCGCAACAAACGGGAAACGCTATCTTTCCTTTCTCTTCCTCGTCACATCCTCTCCCATTACACACACTATGCAACCACTTTTACTCGATATGAAACACACTATAAATCCACGATAAACTGTAAACTTGGGAGCTTAGAGCTTATCCTAGCTGAGTCGATGCCCCACTGGCAGAAGATATCTGGTTGTGGATCAAACCACCCGGGGGGGGGGGGTCACCATTGAATCAATAAACCGAATTGTTAAAGCCAGTCCTTAGATACTCGAATCATATTTTTATTTTCGCCTCTAGTAGATTTGTTGTTGTGTGTGTTTTCCAGTTGGGCCTTGTGCGGCAGGTATCGAACTGTTTGTGTGCCTATCCGAGTGATTCGGTTGAGCTATTTGTATTTGCGCTCGTCGCTGCCGTAGTGTAAGGAGTGTTTTCCAGCATCGCGTGCGTTGCGCAGATCCGGGTGTCGCCGCAGCGCGACCTGTGGCTGCACTTCGACAAGCTGCGCTTCGCGTCGCGCGTGTGCGAGGAAGGAAGGCTGGAGGTGCGGCTGCCGTCGCGCGCCGCGCCGCTCGTCGCCGTGTGCGGCGCCAACGTCAGCGCCCTGCGCGAGCTGCCCGTGCTCTCCGCGGCAGACCTGGGCCCCGACCCCGCCGTGCTCGTGCACTTCACCGCCTCCGTGAGTACACATTGCGCTTCACTGCCTCTTCTTTTTAGTATTTGTGGAGCATGCATTGTTAAACAAAATGGTTTAACTCCAAAATAACTGGCTGGGGTCCAACGTGTTCATGCACTTCACCGCAGCTGTACTTTCTGGCTGGGGCTTCACTGACTCTTTTTCTAGTAATTGTAGAGCATGCATTTGTGATCAATAGGGTATAACTCCAAAATAATTGGCTGAGGTCCGATGTACTCTTGAACTTCACCGCCTCTTTTTTTATTTTTTAAATATTATTTTGTGGTGCTTGTAATTTTGAACACAGTGGTTTAACTCCAAAATAACTGGCTGGGGTCCGTCGTGCTCGTGCACTTCACCGCCGCCGTGAGTACACATTTCGCTTCACTGCCTCTTTTTTTTAGTATTTGTGGAGCATGCATTGTTAAACAAAATGGTTTAACTCCAAAATAACTGGCTGGGGTCCAACGTTTTCATGCACCTCACCGCAGCTGTACTTTCGCTTCACCGCCTCTTTTTTTTATTTTTTTTATATTATTTTGTGGAGCATATATTTGTAATCAAAATGTTTTCACTACAAAATAACTGGCTTGGGCCCGAACCTGGCCTGCTCGTGCACTTCACCGCCGCCCTGAGTACAAATTTCGCTTCACTGCCTCTTCTTTTTAGTATTTGTGGAGCATGCATTTGTGATCAAAAATGTTTAACTCCAAAATAAATGGCTGGTGTCCGACGTGCTCGTGCACTTCACCGCCGCCCTGAGTACTTACGCTTCCCGACCTCATTTTTTTGTTATTTTTTTTTAATATTTGTGATCAAAATGCTTCAAATCCAAAATAACTGGCTGAGGCCTGACTTCGCTGTGCTTGTGCACTCGCTCTTTCCACGCAGCCTGCTCCTTTCCCTTCACCAGCAATACCTACCCTTTCCACTTCACCCCTTCTTCCGAATCGTCCACTCCCGATCCGACCACTGATTCTTTTACGTTTTTCTGTAGAATCTAAGCATACATATTTTATTTTAACATCTCATATTAATAGCTCGCTAGATGCAATGCGAATATTACATTGGCAGTTAAACAGAACGGCAATAAAATATTTAACTCGACCAAATAGCATATTTAGGTGAATGGATTCGGAATACTCTTTCCAATATCTCGAAATCAAAATATGCTATTACCTGGAACAATCGGATTGATTGTCATCTAAGCAATGCCAAGGACAATGAACGGCGCCAAATACATTGTTAAATAGCTTTACAAACTGTCTTTTAGTTCTTAATCCACTTAATGAGAGTGAGTTTCGACTGAATAAAATGTACTTCGTTTTTGGGCATTACTGCAGTACTAAATACACACATTTTCTAAAGTTAGGGCATGTTAAATTGTATTATGGATCGATTTTATTCCAGACAGACGAAGACAGTGATTCATATAAATTGAGAATGCTCAGTAGCCGTGTTCTATGAATTTATAATAATAATGATGATAATGATCATAATAATAATAATAATAATAACTCATAAAATATCTAACTAAAATCCTTGGAGGATTCCCGTTTTAAAAAATTAATGAAAGATTAACGATAAAAAAATTCACAAATTTTCCTGAAAGAACATGATGTTCAAAAATATAATTTGAATCTTGCTATAGTATTTTCGGATTTTCAAACACTCATCCAAACCTTCTCTTGGAAGTGGTATTCCATGAGTCACACACACACACACACACACTCATTTCGAGTTTGAGGCCTTGTTGTAGTATGGTAATCGCTAAAAATTCTAAGTCTTCCTTCCGTCATTAAACAAATCATAATTTATTTATGACATGTTAGCTAACACTGCAACAAAACCTCACATGTTGTCCCCCACCTCACAGGAAAACGATATCTACGGAGATCTCTCTCTCCGTTTCGCTGCTTTTTGGTTGTTGACGTGGCAACGTATCAGAGTGATTCACAGACCATGCAGATAATACATGCTGATGGTAATAGAAATCCGTGCTGGGGAGACACCGCGGTGTGTACCGCTTCAAACAAGTCGGATATTCTGTTACAGCAGGTAATCTGTAAAATTGACGGCTTCTAAACAGAAGCGCCACGGCACACTGATTACATGCCGGTGGCAATTCTCGATATTCGATAAATCGCGCGCTGGATACGCGCGCGCGCCACCGATATTCGATAAATCATCGCGGCTCTTCGTGTGATTCGATATAACGACGGCGATATGCCATTATTTCTAAACAAAACAAACGTCATATAATCCATAAAGCCTTGCAGCCTACTGCGTACGCTTAGCTGTTCGGTCTTTCTTGGACTTTGAAAAATTTCACATCGCGCATTCAAACAGTAAAAATGGATCCGAGAAATTATATACGTCAGTGGTGCACCCAATGCTTACGAGGCTTCGCCTATACTTTCAAAACGCGTTCAATAAATTCATTGTTAACGTTGAAAATTCAAGCTGTAAGTCAACAAATAAAAATACATTTTTTATTCAGCATGAGTGAAAAATTATTTTTAAGAAAACATTGAGCCGTCTGGAAACTACATCTGTACTCACACGCAGGCGCGCACAATATTTCCTGGGTGCGCCTCATATACACCCATATTCCCTTAAAAAGACATAAGAGATTCAACTTCATAACACATGGTGCAAAAAAGGAAGAAGAAACCATAAATCCTATACATTTGTGAAATGTTTCAATATTATCGAGAATTTCATTAATATACCTCATTATCAAATGAATTAGTTTGAAATATCGATTATCTAATATTTGAGTAAAAGCCTATGTAAAATCATGTATGTACTTGAAGGTGTGAACACATGTGTCATTTGCACGAAATAGTTTACAAATTGCTGCATTTTAATTTCCTGTAAGTTCAACGGAAAGACGTCTAAAGATCTAAATCTCTTACTTTAAGTCATCCCCATGTAAGTCAAGTCACTCTTTCTTTAACAGAGGAAGAAACCAAAAGGTGTCTTCATCTCTGAAGCAGAACGCAGAAAGAAAAAAACCTTATCACTTTTCTTCCAACTCGCACTCAAATCTTCCTGTCCCATTTGTCATACTTGGTCACACCTGACTACTCTACAGGAACATCGTTTTCAATGAGCTTAGGTAGAGCACGGGCCGCAATCGAAAAAGAATGAAATCTGACACTGGACGCTGAGAGAGAAAGACGGACAGCGAGTATAGATTGAAGGCAACGAGGAAAGACGGGGAAGAGGTAAAAAATATCGCAATAGAATTTGTCAGGATACAGAGCTAAGAGTATCAATATAAAATAAGTTATATACGGACATTTAAAAGAAATAAGCAGCAGTAAAATGAGACGGAAAACTTCTAAAAAAAAGCTTAATAAAGAATTGTTTCACAGTGTGAAGATTCATAAGCACCAGAAAGTACGTTACTGTACAAAATTTGCGAAATTTGTTTGTAGGTAAATAAAATATCTTTCCTCTCAAATGCATCACATTATTTTACGCTCTGTATAATTATGTAATCAAACGCGAGAACATTCAAATATAAAATAATAACATTATGAATCACTGCTCAAATGAACCTGTCAGCCTATTAATCTGACTTTTGGCAATGAAATTTTTTTTGTAATTCATTGAATATAAAATCGTTGTTTATAATCTTCAAAATAAATAAACAGACGACACTTTTTCAATAGTCTCTTTTCCAATATTCTTAGGTCGAGCTTACGCCAGAATCGAGAATGATACTAGTATTTGTCACTGAATGTTGAGGAGAAAGTGGAGGAAGCTGAAAGAGAAATATAATTGTAAATACAATAAACATTGCAAACTCGATCAAAAAATCGAACATGCTTTGGGAAGATTTCGAATCTTCAGTCAAAACACTTCAATTCAGTCAAGCTTATCCTATGTTAATAAAATTACCTAGTTTATTTAACAGTGCGCAAGATTATTTCTCATTTTCCTCTTATTGTCGGTGCACAAGAACATTGGCACATCTCGAAAATTGTTATTTGATAGGAAAACTCCAGTAAGTTTTGCCCTGACACCGTTTTGAACCAAGTTATGAAATTATATTAATAAAATTATTTATTTTTAAACATATTTCCCTTCTACACTTACCTCGAAAATTATTGATTTTGAGATTTCACTTTTCTTGTTCACTGACAATTAAACGTTCCTCATAATATTTGCAAAAACTACCAAAATTAACTTCGAAAATAATATTTGTCGAAAAGTAAAATAATGTTTATTTTCCCACAAAGTTAAAGAATTCGCATTTCACTGCTACTGTATAATTCTAAAATAGTAAATATTCCTCAAACAAGTATTATACTTCAAGTTCTGTGTCAAAATCTCTAAATCAAACAGGTTTTTCATCGTTTTCCTAGCTCTAGTGTGAAAATGCTGAAATGGCCCCTTGCTGTGCTTCTGGATGTAAACGAAGCTTTGCTACGCGCCCGTTTTGTTGATCTCTCTTTGTGCAAGTCATGGCAGGAGTAGGGATGGGCAAGGGAAGGTTTATTTTCAGGAGTGGTGTAAAATCAAAGATGTAGTTCGTTTGCAGTTACAAAATGTTTTCTATTACACGAAACCGTGACTTCTTGTCGCTAACCACTGAAACCACTGTGGTACCTGAATACATAATTCAATTATGTGAAGCGAAAAATACGAGTAAGTTATTCTGGAACTCAAGAAAATGTGCACACATTACACATCTTCCTCTTGCGTCACAGTTTTTTACTATTTTGGGTGATAAATAATATTTTTTTACGAAATAAGACATTATTATGCATTGTTTTACAAGCTTTGTAAATATTGCAATGCACTACAATTATAAAGTTGCCTCTTCATCCAGCGTAAGGCGGTACTCTGAGGTTGATAGAAGGTTTTTATACTTAATTTATTTTACGCATAATAATTGCTTTAGTTTACATGTGTTCTATCTTAGAATCTAGGATTTCCTAAATCTTAGTTTAGGTCAACGATTATTACAATACTGGGGTTCTAAAAATTATTTTTACTAAACGATGGAAGTTATTTTTACGAAAAAGTAACTATCATCGTATCGCAAAAATTAGTTAATAATAGTTAATAGTAGCCTAGTAGGCCGTGGATTATTGTAATAATTCAAGTTATATGCTCCGTGTGTTACACTTATTACGAAACAGAAGTTGTTGCTAGAAGGTCATGCATCATTAGATGACTTGGGTTATTTTCATTACAAAACTGTTCTTAGATTCGTAAAGTTTGACTCTGGAAATGAAAGTAGATGAAACTAAAATAATTGAAAACAAAATTACGTTAAATGACAGCGCACCTAATGATAATAATAATAATGATGATGATGATGATGATGATAATAATAATAATAATAATAATAATAATAATAATAATAATAATAATAATAATAATAATAATAATAATAATAATAATAATAATAGCCGGCTCCGTGGCGCAGACGGTTGCCGAGGAGGCTGCAGATTCGAGTCCCACATAGACATGGTCGTAGTTGTGATTGAGCCTTCACCCCTCATCATCATCCTATCATCTCATAATTCACTCTTCAACGCGAAACAACTTTGTCGTACTGTAAGATACAGCTGAAAAGCTAATTCTAGAAAAGTTACACACGTTAATCGTGTAGCGTATGGTGTACACGCCAATAAGAGTACTTCTCCCAGTTTCAATAGAGTGAAAAGAATGCGGAAAGCGAGGAGTAACGGTCGCACCGTCGTGCGCAGGTGACGCCGGCGCGCGCGGCCTTCAAAGTGGTGTGGACGGAGCTGTTCCACCTGCCGCGCAACCCCGACGGCTCGCTGGCCACGTCGCGCCTCACGGAGGGCGGCGGCGGCGGCGGCGGCGACGGCTGCGACTTCCTCTGCCCCGGCGACGCGGGCCTCTGCATCCCGGCGCGCCTCGTCTGCAACGGCGTCGTCAACTGCCCCAACAGCACCAGGTACGGCGCCCCGCTCGGCCCCTGGCGGTGACGTCCAAGCTCCCGATTGGGTAAAACCCGCCAGGGGCAGAACTGCATATATCGCTATATACTCTACCGTTTCAAATACTCAGAGCATCAAGAGACGTCACTGCGCTGCCTCCAGCCGGCAGGTTCTAGTGTTCGAATCCCGACGGAGCTGGCAGGTTTTTCGACACCAGCTACATACTAGCTAGTATGTCGAATTCAGCCGCTGTCTGGATGCGAATTCTAGCAGCCGCATGCTCTGATCGGTAGTTTGCCGATCAGCCACACCGCCGGAGCAGTACCCTTACAAAAGGCCACGGTCCCCTCGCGATCTTTCCTTCCTCTTCCTTATCCTATCCACAAATGTCGGGTAGGTCTACGTCAGATCTCGCCATCCTGCAGGGGAAGATAACCGCCATCTCCGGTGATAAAAACAGACACTGCACTTCATGGACTTGGGATGACCTTGGGAGTTAAAGGGCCCCGAATCACTAATCAATCAGTCCGATTTAAATAGACTCGTGACAAATTAAATGACTTGTGACAAATCATCACCTGTGACGCACTTATCCATTCGGGAGCTGTGTTACGACTTCAATTTTAGGTTACTATTAATTTAATTACTACCATTTCATGTTTAATTTTCTTTTTAAATTCTGCCTTTTATAAGCATTTTTGACAAGGATCAGCAATGTTTTGGAATGGGGAATTCTTTTCTTGTTTTTGTTTTGTGCTGTTTTATTAAATCATGTTACTTGTTGCAATTTGGCTGCACTATATCAATGCTATGAAATAAATTAAAAAGTGTCTGAAAGTTAACAATTCTCGCTGATGGGCACAGAGCCTGTTAAACATGCTGCAGTAGCTCCGGCTGAGTGCCAGTTACTGTGGTCGCAATTCTCGCAAACTAGTAAGCTGGTTGCCTTGTCCGCGACCTCGACAAGCCTGGACTAAACGTTCAGTTCTTCTCAAGCATTGTGTTGCAACTATAGTTTAACTCCTCTCCCAAAACCATCAGCTTTAACGATCGAAACGTTTAATTTTTTTTCAAGAAAACTGTTAGAACAATAGAAATACTGTGCAGTGTTCTGAAGTCAATGACGCGTTCTCAAAGGGCGCTAAAAAGGTTAAGCGGTGGTTGTTACCTAGCTGTTAATATTAATTACCTAGCTGTTAATACGACCATAAGTAAGCAACAAAATAAAGGTTAAGCGGGATATTTGTAAATTAATACAGAACGAACAATTCCAAACAATGTACGGTATCTACAATCGAAAAGAAAATAAATACGGCGCGAGCATTCAGTTCTTCTCAGGCTGTCGTCTAGAACTACAGTGAGTTTCACAATAAATGTTAATAACTTCTATAGCATTTAGCGGGGTCGAAAATGATCACTTTTTGCCAATGTATGTATAGTGGGAACTTTTATACAACGATGTTACGCATGTGACATTTGCATGTGACTGGTAGGTACCTCATGCGTTGTTGTACGGCGAACACACGAACATTCTTTGCACGAGAACGTTCTCCAAACACCAGTGAATGATGACGCAGTTGAATGATCTCTAATTTTTTTCCTTCAAACATGACATGGTCTTCTTTTATTTCTCTAACAAATTTAGTCATTTTTACAAGTTAACCTATAAAAATCCAAAACGAAAACGCATAAACTATGAATATGTTAAATGAAGACTAATTTCATACAGGTTGTGTTTGAAATTTTATCAAATAAAAGTTCATTTCATCAGGAAACCTCAGGCAAATGTCGTTTCTGAAAGTTCGTGGCCATCCTCTGTTGACGTAGGAGGGTAGCGGAAAATTTACCTCGGCAATACAGCAGCCCCGTCCTCGTCGTTTCGTTGGAGGTTCAGGTGCGTGGGCGGTGTATCGCCTGCAGGGGCTTCCGCTGGCGGTGACACCAGCAACTCGGCCCCAGCTGCCCTTTGGTAGCCCTAAGGATTCGCTTCGCGCCGCCCCGCCCCCTCACCCCGCGCCGCCCCGCCGCCCCCAACTAATATACCAACTTCTCCGGGTGTCCCCACGCGCCAAGTCTGATCAATTGTTTCGAAACTCCTGGGGAATTGCGTCGCAGCTCAAAACTCGGGTAATTTAGTTCTCCCCGTGCCGATATGTTTCTCTTAGCTGACGGTACAGGGTGTGTTGGGAGGGGCGATTTCGGAAAGTGTAGGCTACTAGATAATTGTGAAATTGATTGCGTTCACACCAAGAAAACATTCTGAAAAATAGAATAAACTGCAAATACAATCGAGACCAACTGTAGTGAAAAACACGATTATTCCTGTTGCGTCTGATTTTTCTTAGTAGAAATAAACACTTGTTGCAAGCAGAAATTAGAAAATAAATATTCATCAAATTTACTCAATTTTATTGAAGAAACTATCAACATTTGAAAAAAATGTTTTCGATTATATTAAAAATCTCTATTTTAGTATTCATGAGATATTATTTGTGAATATTCTATGAGAGCGAGAAATAATGTGGCATTTTGATTAATCAAGTCACGTTCTCCACGTATCCTGTGGGTAGGAGGAGAAGAGGAAGACATAAACATAGCTTGTTGAGAGAAATTGGGGGACTGTTGAAAGGGAAGAATTTAACAGACAAGGATTATGAATATCGTGTCAAATGGAAAAATAAAATTAAAATTATATAAAGTATTAGAATTTTGGGGTAACAGAGTTGTTTTTTTAACAATGTAAAACTGTGATATAAATAAATAAAACATTCTCCGTGTTTTAGATCATTCCTACACAATCGAAATACAGACATCTATAGAGCGTATAACAGTTGCAAACGTACTTCTCAACACCTTCCCCGCAAGAACTTAAAAGCAAGTTCCAGTCATACAGTCAGACAGCTTCAAATGAAATTCCACACATGACCGATTTGCAGTCCAAGAATATGAAAGAGCGAACGTTTCTACCCCTTATGTAAAGTTATGCTGTTTCATTTCATCCACCTCTGGCACAAACTTCACAACTTCTCCGAACTAAACTTCGCGAACAACAACAAAACAGCGGGACGGCTGATGTGTTTGCAAGAGCCGAGGCAAAAACGCGGCCGGGGGGGTGTAAAGCAGAAGAGGTTGTGGGGGCGCTCGCTCGCGTGTCGGGGTTGGGGCGTGGGTGGCGCGGGCGAAGCCGGTTCCAGCGTGGAACGCCGAACAAGCGGTGGGTACACTGGTGTCATGCGGGAGGGGGGGGGGAGTGGCAAAAAGGGGGGACCCT